GAAAAATGGATAGAGAAGAGAAAAAAGGATAGTAAATTGAGGGGAGTGTGATGATAAGAGAGGCAGACAAACGATCTGGTCCACCAGGCTCAAAAATTTTGTCTAATGAGAGAAATAATTATAAAACAGGAGATGAGGGAGATCGGAGACAGAGACAGACACATATTGCCACACATAAGTAACAAATGCATACAGGAAAAGAAGACTGGTAAGTCAGAGTTCACTGGTCCTATTATTTTATTCTATGGCTATGACTCTCAACCTGTCACATAATGAAATCACATAAGAAACTGTAAAAATATTGATATCTGGGCTCTAACCCAGAAATTCTGATTTCAGTGATCTAGGGTGTTAAAAGCTTATAAAAAGCTGGGCATGGTGGTGCATACCTGTAATCCCAGTACTTGTGAGGCAGAGGCAGGAAGATCTTAGTTTGAGGCCAGGCTGAGCTATATAGTAAATAGTAAATTCTAGACCAGCCTGGCCTACATTTTGAGACCCTGTCTCAAACAAACTAAATTAATTAATTAATTAAAATCTTAAGTCATTCCAATATGCAGCCAAAGTTCATAAACACTGATGTATATATTTTAAACTGTTATCTGACTTCCCCTTCCCAGTAGGTACTAGGTCATGGTACAAGAATCAATATAACATCTAGAAAAAGTTATATAAATTATGAAAATTGAGTTTCCAAAATATCAGAGAGCTATGGAAGCAATTAGGACTAGATCTACAGTTCACTAAGTGATCCAGGGAACCACAGGTGTCCCCAAGACCTTCCAGAGCATCCATCAGGTCAAAACTATTTTCATAATAATAGTAAGACATTAACCACCTCTTTCACCCCCTTTCTCTCACAACTGAACTGTCCTCCAAGAGGCAACATGATATTTGAAATTAAACAGACTGTACATAGACACACAGAAGAATCTAGCAGGCTAAAAAGATTTGCAGAACTCTAATAAGTTACTTTTTTCATTAAATTATCTTTATTTTGGAAAATTTGGTAATCTTTTCATAAAATATGTTATTTGCATTAATAGATAAGGGATTTAATATAGTTATTTTAAATGAATAAATATTTCCAGGTTTTTTTCCATTTTAATTTGTTTTCTTGCAGTCCTGGGCATGGAACCCAGAGCCTTGAGCATGTAAATAATTTTTAAGATTAAAAGGGTCCTTAAGACCAGAAAATTTGAGAACCACTGGAATAGGTGTGGTGGCTCATGCTAGCACTCAGGAGGCTGAGGCAGGAAGATCAGAAGTTGAAGACCACTCTGGGGTATACAAGTATATCTTGTCTCCAAAAAAAAGGGAAAGCCTTTCTATCGTGAATGGATAATTACCAGTCATTTTCGTCTATGGAGGATTCTAGATGAAAGCTGAGAATTTAACTTGGCTCACCAAAAGCACCAAAGCACAGAGAAGAGAGCCTAGTATGTGTTACAACTGACTTTCTTATAGTTTTTCAAGGATGAGCAGAAAGAAATCTACCAGCTCTTAATAAAAAGTCAGAAAGGGACATAGGTTTTTATTTGGCTTGTCTGGATCTACCTTTTCCTCACCCTACATGGCTCACAGAAGAAAGGTTGACCCCTACATATGATGAAAGATAAAAATCACCTGGAGCCTCTACTATTTTTATACACATTGTCCTAGCATTTAATAAAAATAAGTTACTTGCAGGGCATCAGTGGCTCACACCTGTAATTCTAGCTACTCAGGAGGAAAGATCAGGAGGATCACAGTTCAAAGCCAGGCCAGGCAAATAGTTCATGAGCTCTTATCTTTAAAAAAACCATCACAGCGCTCGCTTCAGCATCACATATACTAAAATTGGAATGATACAGAGAGGATTAGCATGGCCTCTGCACAAGGATGACATGCAAATTTGTGAAGCGTTCCGTATCTAAAAAAAAGAAAAGAAAACCATCACAAAAAAGGGCTGGTGGTGTGGCTCAAGGTGTCAGCCTTGAATTCAAGCCCCAGTACCATTAAAAACAAAAAAGTTACTAGACATGCGAAGCAGGCACATATAAAAAACAATCGAGAGGGAAAATAGGCAGCCCCATAAATGATCCAGATAAAAGAGTTACCAGACTAGTACTTTAAAATAACTATCTGATATGTTAAAGAAAATACAGGAAAAGATGGTTACCACAAATGAAAAGATGCAAATTTTGGACAGGGAACTAGAATTTGAAAATAGTAAAATAGATATTCTAGAATTGAAAAATAAATTATCTGAGAGTAATTCTGTAAACAGCAGAATGTTCACAGCAGAATGCAAGATTAAAGAACTCAGAGATTAGGTCAAAATAAAATAACCAAACCAAAGCACAGGAGAGGAGAGGAGAGAATAGAACAGAAGCAATATTTTAAGGGATTTACAAATCCTAAAACGAATGTGTGTTCTGCAGTTGTTATGTTAAATGTTTTATGTGTGTCAATGAGATCAATGGTATTAATCATATTTTTAATTATTGAATGGGGTGTTTAACTCTCTAAATTTGATTATGAACTTGTCTATCATCAAATACATATTTTTGTTTTGTTTTGCTTTTGTTTTTGAGACATGGTCTCACTATGTGATTCAGGCTGGCCTTGAACTCACTAGGTAGCCTTAGGCTGGCCTCTAACTTGCAATCCTCTTTGCCTCAGCTTCCTGAATGCTGAGATTATAGCTGTGTGCCACCACACCCAGCTTGCTTTGTATATTTTACATTTGATATTAGCCAAAAGGCTGAGAAGCAACTGCTTTCTATATTTTTTTAAATACATTATTAGGTTATCCAAATTAAGGGTTATTTTATATTACCATTGAATTCACACATTTATCATTACAAAACATTCATGTGGTCTCTAGTAATACTTTTTTACTTTTAAAGACTACTTTGTCTGATATTAATATATCTATCCTTGTTTTATTTTGCTTTGTGTTTAAATCATGTATCTTTTCTTGCCCTTTTACTTATAACCTTTCTGTGTTTCATGAATCAGTATATTTGGGAGTTTGTTTTTTATCCAGTCTGACAATTTTTGCCTTTTAGCTGCATTATTTAATCTTTTTATATAAACTAAACTTCAACAGTTTTTTTTTTAAAGTGAAACTATAGCACATATTCTCACCACAGAAAACTTACCTCAAAATCAATAAGAAAAAAACAAGAAAATTCCTAACGTGCTTGAAAATCAAGCAAAACACTTCTAAATAACTATGTGTGAAAAAAAATCACAATAAAATTGAACTGAAAGATTATGAAAATATAAAATATCAAAACATTAAATGAAGCAAAAGCAGCACTAAAATCTATATGCATATATTTAGAAAATACTAAAGATTTTAAATCAACCTAATCTTCTGCCTCAAAACGTCATAACAGAAAACTAAATTTTTTTAAATGCAAGCCTTGTGTACTAAAAACTATAAAATATTGCTGAGAGAAATTTTAAAAGTTCTAAATAGGTGATGGGATAAACTATGCTCATGAATTAGAAGAATTATTTGGTCAAAATGTCAATTTTCCCCACTTGATCCATTGAGTCAATGCAAATGCAATCAAAATCTCAGGTTTTTTTCCCCTGACAATGGGGTAGCAGAATAACAAGTAATATGGAAATACAATGACCCTCCACTAGCCTGGCCATTTTGTAGAAGAAAATGCTGAATAACTTAACATTACCAAACAATGAGACTTATAATAAGACAAAGCAGTGTCAAGGACAGAAAAACAGGCTAAAGAACAGAATAGATTCCTGAGCTATCATCTTACAAATATTCATCTGGGGACAAAAAGATCCTTGACCCCCTACCTCAAATCATACATAAAAATTAATTTGAAATAAACTATTTCCCTAAATGTAAAAAGTCAGACAATAAAGGTGTTGGGGTACAGTAAGAACCGAAGCCTATCGGCGCCATTATTGCCAACAAAAGGTTCCTCAAGAAAGACTACAAAAATATCTTGGGGTTAGGGAAAGTTGGTTTTAAATTTTTTTGCCTTGTTTTGTTTTCTTATTTTTTTGTTTCTCTTTTGGGAAAGATTTTTTTTAAACACAGACCAAAAAGCATGAAGCATTATTTTTAAAATTAATTGAGTTAGATTTCATTAAAATCAAGAACATCTAAACATCAGAAGACAATATTAAAAATAAAAAAGTAAGCCACAGATTGAGAGAAAATATTTTACGTATTTTTATACATGTAAACTATAAAAGACCCACATTTAGAGTATATAAGGAAGTCTTACAAATCAATAAGAAAGAAAACTCAAGTTCTTAAATGAGAAGACATTCCCTAAATCAAATGGCCAATAAGTTTATGAGAAAGTATTCAATAATATTAGGAAAATGAAAATTAAAACCACAGTGAAATACCATTATATACCTACCAGAATGTTTAAAATTGAAATGTCTAAAAATACCAAAAATACCAAGCGCAGGTCAACTAGAACTCTCACATATTGTTAGTGGCGGTATAGATTAATTGGTACAACCTTTCTGGAAAGCTGGCAGTCAGGCAGGCAGTCTCTCTCTCTCTCTCTGTCTCTGTCCTTCCCCCCCTCAGCCCTCCCCTTCCTTCCTTTCAGTTGTAGCTGGGAATCAAAGCCAGGGCCTTACACATGTTAGGCAACTATTCTATCATGTGCTACATTCCCAGCCCTATTTGGGTAGTTTCTAATAAAGCTAATATATAAATGCTCTATTATTATATATCCAGCAAAAATGAGTGTTTATACCCACTGACAGATAAATGTAAGAACATTCATAGTAGTGTTACTCATAAAAGCCAAAAAAAACTGCAAACAATCCAAATATCTACCAATGAGAGAATGGACAAATAAATTACAGTATACTTACTCAATGGATTATTATCCATCAATGGAAATAAACCAACTATCACTACACGCAACATGGATGACTCACAGTCAAAGAAACCAAACATAAAAGAGCATATATTTATAATGCCATTTTTATGAAATGCAAAATCAGGCAAAACTAATCTGGTTTAGAGGCTGTGATAGTAGTTACCTTATAGATGACATATTGAGTACAGGGGCAAATGAACTTTCTGGGGTATGGTAAGTTCTGTATCTTTATCTGGCTGGTGGTTGCACAGGTAAAGGCATATGTAAAAGTATACTAGCTAGATATTTTATGTAAGTATTTCAACAAAAAAGGAACAAAATATCTCTTATTTCCTGTTATCCACTGTTCTTTGAAAATCATGGTAATCATTATTGGCAGCTTTTCTGCTACTCTTTATTTTTGTGGGAGTGGGGTTTGACTTAGGGCTTTGCACTTGCAGAGGAGGCGTTCTACCCCTTAAGCCATACCTCCAGTCTTCCACTACTCTTATTAGTAAGGACCTAGTGACTCTAGAAGATAGACTTTAAGCCATATTTTGAAGCCCTCGTACATGAAACTTTCCAGTCAGACTCTGGGCCTCTGCCCTCTACCCACCCCTGAGGTGTCTAGGAATTTATAGACTCTCCTACCTGCTCCAACTCTTCCTCAGCATATTTTTGGCGGCTCCGTTCATTCTCAGTACCCTCCCGCAGCTCTTTCAGGCGCTGGGCTTCCTGCTTGGCAAGGTTGATCTCATCACGCAGTTTCTTCTCTAAATGAACCTTTTCTACCTCCACTGTGCGGTGCTCCTCCTGGGCCTTATGCAGCCTAGGGGAGAAAGGGGTGATGAAGGGAGCTGGAGGAGGCCAGGCCATGAGTCATGGCAACAAGGAAGAAATGAAAGCACTAGTTCTCAGCATATATTCTTCCTACTCTGCTGAGGTAGAGCTAGCTCTGAGCTAGCTCTGAGCTAGCTCAAGGCCAGTAGAAACCATAGTCATTACCCTAATTTTTATGTTCGCCATCATTTTGCTGCCAGTAACCAAGACCATGAAGCCAGGCTCACAGGCATCTGAATTCCTCCCCTGAAGCATCTCACATACTAAAACATAACAACTACTAGTTTACAAGTCACTTCACATTTGTCCTCCTAGATAATGATATACTGGTAACTTTATCAACCTGGGACAGATATAAATATGAAAGCTTAGGAGAGGGGAAGTAACTTATAGGAGGGACCAAGACTAGAATTCAAATCTGTGTGACTTCAAATTCCATAATTATTCCCCTCATATTGAGTAATCTGTAAGGTTCAATAAATATAAAAAACTCTGCAAGCTCAGCAAAATCCAGGAAAAACCCAATGGCTAAAGTACATCTGAGATAGTGGTAGGACAGAGAAAGAAGAGAAAGGAATTATTGAACTGGATGTTTTAGACTTCTGAGTACCTATTTCCAAAAGCATGGAAAAATGAAATTCATGCCAAAGGGGCTGGGCTGGGCAAGGCTTGGGATATTCGCTGTTGCAACAGGCCCAGAGTTCCTTTCCAAGATATCTCCCATAGAAAGTAATACTTCAAGGGCAACAGTTATAATAGAAATCTACCCTTATACTCACTCATTTATTCCTTCTGCTCACTAACAAGGCACCTGCCATCTAAACAAGCCTCCTTCTGTCCTCCTTTCTTTCCTTAACATATCTGTTAATTTATTAATTCATTCATCCATTCATTCACCAAGTTCATCGAGTGCCTGCCAAATGTCAAGGCGTATGCTAAGTTCTAAATATGTGGATATAAATAAGAAAATTGACCCTCTCACTAGGAGTAAATGACCTAGTCCAATGAAGACAAGTAATCTGATAACTGTCTACAGTCTGGCAAGTTTTACAATAAAGATAAAGATAATATTGTGTGAGGCCAAAGGATGGAAAAATCCACTCTGCCTGAAAGGAATTAGGAAAAGGGGTGCCTAGAATACACCCAGAAGAAAGAGCAAAAGTTGATTAATCCCCCTGAAAAGGAAAAGGAATAAGGTAGGAACTACTGTCCAGTCTTCTTACTTTTGTAAGAACCATAAGTTATTAGGATAGGAAGGTGTAAGGATGATGAAGAGGACAGGGACTATGGGTATAGCTCAGCAGTACAGTGCTTACCTAGCATGCACGAGACCTTGGGTCTAACTCCAGCATAAGGAGAGGAGAGGAGGGGAGGGGAAGGGAGGAGATGGAAGGGAGGAGAGGAAAGGAAGTAGAGGGAAGGAAGGAAGAAAAGAAGGAAGGGAGGGAGGGAGAGAAAAGATATAGGTTTAGAACTGAGGTATAGAATAGTAAAGACAGAATCTAGAACAAGAAGAACCCACAGAGAAAATCATGGACCACTGAGTTAATTAAGATGATGAAAAAGAAAAGACAGAAACAGAACTAAACTTTTTAAAAACACCAAGTCTAGAGTTGTCAGTGGCTAAGGCCTCAAAAGATGTGATAGACAAGAAGGGAAGGAAGAGAAGAAATGTAGGCTACACACTTCCTGCAACCTTCTGTCTTGCCCCTGGAGAGAAAAGGAGTTGATCCTCCTTGAGATGTACACCAGATGGCGCTATTAGTAGAGTTTAAAAAAAAAAATCAGAGGCGCCATTTCTGGCCCTCATCTCCTTCCCTTGTATCTTGTTCCATAACCCAACTGCAAGAAATTTCAATTCTTCACTGAACTATTGTCCTCTCTGAAAGCAACCTCTTCAGAAAAGCCAATACTATGATACATCTGTCGCCTATAATAGGGAACTCCTCTAAAGTAGAACTGAGCCTGACCCACCTTCATACTTTTCAACAGTCTAATGAAGATGGAGATCAGTAAATATTGTTGGATACAGAAATGACCAAATAAATGTACAATCAAGCATTGTCCTACTCTAAGGCAACAATCAATAGCAGTACAAGGAAGAAAATTAGGCAGCATGATTCCAAGTCTAGGCTGTTCTAATCACTTTGTGAGACTACACTCAAGTTTTGCCTGTTCCTTGACAGCAAAATTGGAATCAAAATTCCTGCCTGCCTCAAAGAATTAATTGTGAAACCCAGCAAAATCCTAACTGGAATGTACATGTAGCATTACATTTATTCACATAAAATATCAGGAACTCTGTAAATGAAGCTCTGTGGTAGTTGAGAGGAAAGGTCTATACAAATGAGGGACAAGATGGCATGTGAGCTTTGTACAATGTCAGAAGGTATAAGTGTGCATATGTGTAAGCCTGTGGGGGAGGGTTGTCTGCCTTCTTCTAAGTCCCATGGAGTTCATTAAGCTCAGGAGGCCTTGGGAACAAAGAAGGGCTGGGAGCTTAGTTTTATCCCCTAACTTGGAATGCCTCCTGCCTAGATTCTTTTGTCTTTGGAATGAAAACAGTACATGTTTTTCAGACAAATGAAGTATGGGGATTGTCCAGACAGCAGTAGTTAGCCCCTACTTGGCAAAGGGTTTCGAAACAAGGGGCCCAGCAGAGTAGTTAGGAATCAGCTTAGAAAACAGCCACTTCTTACCCCCTAAAATCTCAGCCTATTAGAAATGAATCTGGTAAGGCTGCTACCCTAGAAGCATCAAAATTCCTAGGTCACTACTTACTGAAATGTAACCCTCAGCAAAACACGTACCCTCTCTGAGCCCTCATTTCCTCAACTGTAAAATAGGGATAACAGTACCTACTTTAAAGGGTTGTGGTGACTAAATGCAATAATTCATTTAAATACTTAAAAAGTACCTGGCTCATAAGAAATCCTTTTCCCACCCCTCCAAAGAAAAGGTATCTATCATTTAAAAATAACAACTACCACCACAAAAAAAATAAACAAACAAAAAACAGCCTTCATTTTCTTTTTACAGAGATTTCTGCAAAGACTTTCCAATTGAAGTCCCCAAGCTGGCAGTCATTTTCTAAAAGACAGTCGTGAAATAGGCCTCCCCCTTCTCAAAAACAAAACACACCCCCAAAACCTGCTTGACTCTCCACTGCCTTTGTCATCCTACTAAACCTCTCAGTGTCTCAAGGTCCCAGAAATCTAGCCCCACCATATACTCTACCTGAACACCCAGGAAATCCCTACCCATCTTTCAAGGGCAGCTCTTAATAATCCCACATCCCCTCAGCTCCCAAATGTGTATCTTTCTACTCTGTATAGTTCTTATGCCATAGCTGCCAATGAGACTGCATTAAGTGTTGCCGTCAGTGCCCTTTATGTGTTTTGTTGTCCCAGGAGCAGCACATTCCTTACAATTGCCAGCACAGATCTGCCTCCTAAAATGTCAGGAGTACAGGAATGGACTGACAGACTGACATCTTCTTTTCACAGCTAAATCTTTTAAAATCATTTTTGATAGAATCCCAGACTATCAGAGCTAGAATTGTTCTCTTAGAACATTCAAGCCCATCATGTTACAGATGAGGACCTCCTCATAATTCTTCCTGCTAGAAAGGAAAGGACTGACCCCAAACCACATCAGTACTTAGGAGGTTTAGACTCTGTATGGGAAAGAACCAAGGGCAGTAGGAAGATTTATGACTTTTTGGGGGGGAACAGTAGAAAACAGTTAACTATATCTATTTATATGGGAAAGGAAGTAGTTTAGACCCAGGACAAAGGACAGAATGACTTCTAACAAGCCATCCAACCAGGGAAGCTCAAGACCTCTGTCTGGACAGCTACTTATTTCTCCCCATGAAGCTCAGAGAAAAAAAAAGATAGAAACAACCTTCTCTTCAGGAGATATAACTGCCCAGGGCAACTGAAATGGCAGGAAGTGGGGCTCCCAGAACAGTGCTAGAAGGAAATTATAGTGCTGGCAGGTATATTAGCATGGTCTCAGGTCTCCCAAGTGGGAGCCACCTGTTGGCAGCAGGGCTGTGGGGAAGGGCCAGGGTCTTACCGTTCTTGAAGGTCATGTAGACTCTGCTCAGCTCGGTGTAACCCTTCCAAATCCTTCATCATCTTCTTCATGTGCTCCTTAGAGTATCGGTTTTGGATATAGGCAAACCAGCAGCCACCCACACCAATGACAATAGACACCACCAGCATGAAGTCCTTGAGGTGATTATGACGAGTCACTGCCAGAGAGGGGAGGGCATAATGAGTCAGGGTGCCCACAGCACACTTACTCTTGTAAATTCACTGCATCTCCTCCTCCATGATAACTCCCCTAAAAAACACACCCTTCTACTTAAGAGAAATCCACTTCTCTTCTTAGACATACACTTGCCACATATTATCATAGTAATTTCTGGGCCTAACCCTCTATTACTCAAAGTCTAGTTTGGAAAGAATAAGAGGCCTGAGAGTAATACTGGAGGCTTATTTACTTATACTTCTCTAAGATGCAGTGAAAAGGAGATAACAGTGCCTGCTCAATTCAGGCAGCCACGTCTGGGATGGGTTACGTCCACATACCCAAACACAGTAGCTTTCATCATACAGGGTAAGCAATGCTAAGGCAAAGGAGATGGCTGGTATAAAAGGTACAAAGCAATTTCACTAAAACCCAGGGTTTTCTATGGGACTAAAGTTACTATAGGAATTAGGTATCCTGAACTGCTAGGCCAAGGTCTAAAGACCAGATCAGGTAAAGGTCTAAGAGAAGTCTCAATCTATGAAGAATAATTCTAGGGTAAGGCTCAAACCAGAGATCAGGTAGAACAGGAATAACATAAAGAGATTTGTATAGGAGGACTGGGGGTATGGCTCAAGTGGTAGAATGCCTACCTAGCAAATGTAAGGCCCTATACTGCCATAAATAAATAACAAATTAAAGTACCCAATTGGCCTCCATTACACAGTAGAGCAGAACATGGAACCAAACCCGTAATTCCTACAATGTATTTGGGCTGGTGGAGTGGTTCAAGTGGTAAACTGCCTGCCTAGCAAGCATGAGGCCCTGAGCTCAAGCCTGGGGTAGAGGGGAGAGATTGGTATAGGGTAATCAAGAGATTGCTTCCTGGCTGCTATGAATTGAACAGCTTTGTTCTGCTATGAATTGAACAGCTTTGTTCTACTATGCCCTTCCCCCAATGATGAACTGCCTCCCCACAGACCCAGAAACATGAAACCAGCCTATCATGAACTGAAACTTCTGAAACTGTGAGACAAAATAAAATTTTTCTCTGTAAAAACAAAAAAATGGAGACATTGGTATATATGAGACATTATACCAGGCCAGGAACTGAGGGACAGATCTACTACCAGAGAATTCCTGGTAATAAGTTAGTGAAGTCCTGGAGTTTCACCTACCAAGATGGGGTTTAAAGCTATGCCCAGTCTCCAGAGAAAATTTTAAATGCTAAACAAGGAACACCACCGAAGATAAAAAGCAAAAACCACTTTCCCAAGAACTTAGGCAACCAGGAGAAGGGCACCCCTGGAGCCTGGCATTTTTCCTAGTATCCCAGATCTGAGCTCTGGGTCATAGCACAGAAGACTTGAAGGGGGCATCATAAGACCTTTCTGTTGCCTTTTTCAAGTTACAAAACCTCTCCTGCTGTTGCTGCAGCCTGTCTGGGTTATACTGTGGGCTCACAGAAGCCACAGATGTGGAAGTCAGGGAAAGAAAAAAAAAAGGCAGTGGGGGGAGAGTTAAACCACAGCTAATGCCTCTCTGTGCATAGCAGGTTGCTCTCAGATAGGGGGTGAGAAGGTTGGACTGGCAAGATCCTACTGGCAGGTATGGACATGGATTGATGGAAATCCAAAAGGACCCAGGTAAACTATTACAGGAATGGAGGGAGGGGGATAAAGGAGAATAATGGAGGGGGTGAATTTAACTATGATATATTGTAAGAACTTTTATAAATGTCACAATGTACTCCTAATACAGCAATATGATTTAAAAAAAAAAAAGTACCCAAGTAGAGCCACCAAGCTGAGGCCCATGGTTTGACAGAAAGGGTTAGACTCATAGCTCCTCATTGAAAAACTGAGCAGTAGAACGTGGGGATGGTATGGGATCAAAGACAAACTATATACCCTATTTTCATCCAAGGGACAGGAGTTACTAAAGTTCAGGGTAGCAGCCATGTCCTATACATGTTTATGCCAGGCTCTCAAGAGAAACCTGAAAGTCCACTAATAGCCATTCTCCAGCCTCCTGGTAGGCCTACACTTCCAGCCACACTTATGTCTTCATTCTCCTGACTTTCAGATTGCAAGAGAAAATAGTCATGCAGCAAAGAGAGTTGCCTTTCTTTTAGGAACACACTTGTTCCTGCATAGCCTCTACCAGAGCCTTAGGTATTCTTTGTTTTTCCTACTTGTTAAGGACTTT